CTCATTTAAAGTGCTATCTAATCGCTGTATCTTAGATAAAGTCATGTGGAAAACTGCGGGGTAGAATGCTGGTTAGCGGGAAATTCGCATAAAACGCATTAGCATTGGGATACTTGAACAGATGTTGCTGCATTTGAAATTCACAAAACTAAAAGCGAGGCGCAAACAAATCCGCAAAAGCAAAACTTGAAAAGACAAAGAGGATTGCTGGGTTGGCCAACACCTTGCCTTGCTGTATCTAGTATTCGTATCTAAGCATTCTGCATGCTGCCAATGACAGTTGGTTGTTGTCACCCTCTGGACAGAAATTCGCACAGCTGAGCGCTGTTAGTGGGCTGAATAATTCCATAGAATGCGACGAATGCAAAGTGCGACAATGCTCCCCAAACGGCTTAGAGGTGCGAGTCGAGGAAGAAGTTAGCAAAGTCTGTCGCGTCTCTAATGCACATTGGCATTTACATAATTCCCCAGACACGCTGCGGGGCCGAGGGGCACTTGACTTAAGGCAAGCACCCAGAACCAAAATCAGAACCAGAACCAAAACCAGACCCAGACCCAAAATCAAAATTAGAGCCAACCCAGCAGTGAACCAAGCCAAATATCAATTACAATCACGCAAACCAAAACACAACACGGACCACTTTAGCTCGGGGACAGCGGCCAGCAATAGAACAACAAGCAAATTAATTGAAATCAATGCAAATGTCCTGGCCCAACCAAGCAACCCTCAAGGGTTGTGTTGTGCTTCGTTCTGGTTTTTCAATTTCAATAGGCAATCGCATTTGTCAGCGGCTTAAGTCCGCGCTCTGGTTTCCACTTTCCGCTCGCGAGATTTCACAACCCCCTACCTCGCCATAGAAGCCCTGCCACAGTGCCATTGTTGTCAAACATGTCAAAGCAATGGCAAACATTTGGGCTGCTTTTAATTTATCAATGCAAGTTGATTCAGTCTTCTATTTTTTTTTCTCGCTGCCCGCTTGATCTATGGAATCCATTTCGCGGTTTGCTGAGCACATGCAACTCGGCGGCGTTCCTCGCATCATCAGCAGCAGCAACAGCAGATAACGCGCCGATAATCAATGACAGTGTCCTTTGCACAGCTCATCCTTTCTGGCACTCAGCGGCCTCTTTGTGTGATAAGTAACTCATTAGCTCGCTGTGTTGCTGGCGGCGGGCTTTAGCATTATGTCATTCTGCTTTTGGTGAATCCGCGTTGGCTTTTGTGGCCATCGACCGCTGCGGGGCATATGGTTTTTGCATTTCCCCGCTGTGCTCTTCAACATATGCCACAAAATGTGCGCATTTAAATCGTAAACGAACAGACTGTAAATTAATGTGCCAATGCATAGATTAAAACGAGGCTTATAGTGGACTTGTTTTCGGTTTTGAGAAGGTGGCAGTGCCTTAACAAATTCACTGAACTTAGCAACACAACTGAACTCAGGCATTAAATTACGGCAGATACAGTACGAACCCAAAGATTGTCTGTACCAGCTTGCATTCACAGCATTTAGTAATATCTCAGCATGTATTGAAAACGTTTTGATATGCTCAATTTTCATATCGAGTTGACTCTTGCTGCTAAGCATTTAAGATATTTCTTTAAAGGTCAGTTATGCCACAACTCAATGCCAATTTCTGATACATCAGGAGCCATAAAATCGTTTGCCAGCACGCGTCGCGGTTTAAAAAGCAATGTCAATAAATTTTCACTAGAATGAATTTATTGGTAAATCCTCCAAATGGCAGCGAGGGCTTTTTGACAGGGCTTCAGGCCACGATTCAACTCGTTGACGTTACGCAAATCGGCGTCGCCTCTAAATGTCAATAAAGAACACATTTTGTTGGAAACGCTTTTTATGTCCAGGCCACACAGTCAAGGAAATCAGGCCCAAATAAGAGCATAAAAGTCTGGCAATTGCCAAGTGAGGCGCGCGTCGTTTGGCGACAGAATAATGACACGAAATCGCATAATTTGTGCAACAGACGAGCTACGGGCCACGAGCCACGAGTAACCCCAAAAGGTTAGCCAAGGGTTAGCGCCAACAAAAATAATATCAACAACAACAATAACAAAATGAAAGTCAAGGAAGCGCCTTTCAAATTGCCTGATTTACTAGTCGCTTGGGGCCAACGATTTTCCAGTTCAGAATAAAAGGAATAAAGTATGCTCCAAGGATATGCGAATACATATAGCAATTGCCCACATGTGGTGGCCCGGCCAACTAGCAACAACAAAGAAACAAAAACAAAAATATATATGTATATACAACAAAACAAGGAAATAAATATAAAAGTGCTTGGCAATAAAATTTGCGTAAATAGTCCAATTTGCATTGAATGTTGCCTTATTTATTTTTCGACTTTCTGGCCGAGCCCCTCTCCAGAAACGGAACCAAAAATGAATCACACTTTGCCCATTGTTATGCTTTGAAATTCTTGTTGTTGTTATTGTTAGTTGTGCGATTGTGTGTGTGGGTGAGTGTGTGTGCGGGTGAGTGTGTGTGTGTGTGTGTGGGTGAGTGTGTGTGTGTAGCTGTGGGTGTTAGTAAAGTGTAAATTTGGCAAATTTTGTTAAAAGCAAAATATAAAAAAATAGCCCAGAGCCCATATACAGTAAAATGACGGGAAATGGAAATGTGCAGACATTTTTCTCATTTTAAATTATCAACGCCCCATTTTGTGTAAGCAAATGGGCTGAGTCGTCTTCATAGATTGGCCGATAGAGCCAGAGCCAAGCATTGTGTTAAAATTATTTGGCAAGACTTCGAGGCGCAGAATGCTCCCAAGCTAATTATGCGGCCCCCTCTTAGAGTTTTAATTCTTTACGTGGTATGCATGTATTCCAATTGTTCTATTGTTTTTATTCGAAACTTTTGCCAGACGAAAGTGCTTCAAACTTTTCACTTCAAGCCGAATCCAATGAAGCTCAGCAATTAACAATCGGTGCTTAAATTGCTGCCAATTAACAATTAACAAGCTCCCAGCCCCAAAACGCAGCCAACAAAACTTTATTCCCTTTTTGTTTTTTTTTTTTTTTTATATTAAATGCGCATTCAATGAGTCTATTTTTATATATATAAGTCTTGTTAGTTATTAATGGATTCCAATATGTAAATGATATGCTATAATTTTAGGCCAACACGCAATCGCCGCACAATCGATTGATGACCACAGAAATTCCTCTCTCTATTAGGCATTTAAATAAAGCGACAAAACAATTTAATTTCACACGCACAAAACGCAATTTAATATTGCCCACGAAAATGTTAAGCTAATTACACACACACTTGATGTACATAAATTAAGTGCTCCCATTGAAAATAGTTTTTATACAGTATTTAAATTGATCTAATTAAACGTGATTATGTACTTGGTCTCTAATTGCTCGGCACAGAGATCGTCAAATTCCGATTATTTTAGTTTGATGTAGAATCCCAATATTGATTGTCTTTTTCATGAAGTATTCCGGTTATTAAGCGTTCTCTAAAGCCATCGTACTCTTAAAAAAAAGCAGTACCATTTAAAGCTAACACCCACCCACACACACGCCCGAACACATTAACTCATCAAAATTAACTAAGTTATTAGCTCGTTATCTTTCACACTTAATATTTACACAGTTGGCTGCTGAATAGCCGTAGCACATCAGCTTGTAACCAGGAAAAGCCAATGACAATAGGTCAGAATGCTCTGCGTGAGCATGCACAACTGGAAAATACCCTCAAAATTACAAAAACACATATATTCCATTCGAATCGAAATTACAAAGTCTAAAGACCTTCAAATGCGTAATCCTAGACTTAAATTCTTAAAGAACTTAGGTGATTCAGGGGTTGAATAGTCGGGATTGTTGAATGCTTTTCTAGAGTCGATGTGCCAATAGCAACACATTCAACAACATTCAACAAAATCCACGAATTGATCGACTCGAACCTTGATGCTGATAAATGGAAAGATTGCTCGTTTTGTCTATTACATACATCGTGACAACTTTATTATACCCTTTGTTTGCATTTTCAATGGGTAAAGAGCATAAAATGAGCCTTGACAAAGTCATAGAAAGGAGGCGTAGGGGGCAGTAGGTGGGCTCAGACTGTTGCTGCTTGTTGCTTAAAATTCAAACAATGTGTTGATGCCTTCACACCAACAACACATGCATAATTAATATGCAAAAGAAACAAAAAACAACAACAACAGCAACAGTTAAGGCAGTGGCAGCAGCAGCGGCAGCGGCAGAAGGGTAAAACTTTTTGGCCGAGCTGGAAAATTGAAAGGGTTAGCATACTTTTCGGGGCGGGATGCGGGCATCGTTAGACGACATTTTGCAGCTCTGCTGCTGCTTCATTATTACAGCTTCCGCGTCAACATCATTTCCGCAAACAGCAACAACTACATTCAAGCACACACATACACACACACACACACAGACACAGTCACACACACCCATGCAGTTGTTGGCTCTTTCAACGTTTGCTGTTGTTGTTCTTATTGTTGTTATTATTGCCATGCATAATTCATATGTGAAACGCAACAATAGGTGGCAAAGCAAACGAAGCAAAAACATAACCTCAAACCTCGTGAATGGCAGTGAAAATGGTTTAATTGAGGCTCACATAAACACACTCACAACCACACTCACACACACTCACCCACACTCTCTACTCGCAGCCCCTCGAAAATTTAAACTCAGACTCATGCTGCTGCCCTCTCAGGGCATTTACATATTTCAATGCATGCAATTAAGCGTGTAAGGGGGTTGAGTGAAGGAGGGGTAGGGGTAGTGATGGCGCCCTCGAGGAGCGGGTGGCGCTGCCAACTGTCATGACATGGCAAAAAGTTTAATTTTTTGTTCAAACTTTTTCGACGTTTGTTGTTTTTTTCATTCTATTTTCCAGATAAATATAGCTTCTAACTTTTGAGTTGGCCTGCTTTTTAGCGTAGAAGAGACAGGTTACCCGTTTTCTTAATCTTTTTTCTCCTTTTGCCCTGTCTTGCAGGAAAATCACGCCATTTTACGGTGAATGGTCTGAGCGCTAATAACACGCTTCAGCAGCAACAGTATAACCTGCAACAACAGCAGCAGCTGCAGCCAGCGACTGACACACGCAACATCTACAACAATCCTTACAACCCACAGCCACAACAGCAACAACAGCAGCAACAACAACAACAACAACAACCACAACAACAACAGCAACAACGCACCGCACACCTTTTTAAAGCGCTGGCTGCCTCTGCTGCTGTGAGCGGTAACAATAGCTTGAACCATCCGTATGACTTCTCTAACTCATCCTCATCGTCGAATGCCAACAACGAGCAGCAAGGATCATCATCTTCGGAAGCAGATAATGCGTTCTTAACTCATAATAACGGTGAGTTATCAGTTTCATATATTATGCTATATACAGTAAGAAGATCCTTTAAGCCTTTAAGCGCAATTATAGAAATCAAAGCTGCCAAAGCAACTTCACGGGAGAGATAACTTTAAAAGCAGTGCTACAAATGCATAAGAAAATTGTTTTGGTTCGTTTGAGGGAATTTTCGATTCGATGCGGCGGATTTTGTTTAGCAACTAGTTTGGTTTAAGGTTCGGCTATAAGTGAATAAATGAAATTCCGACTTTCAGCTGTTTTAGTTAAAACCCGGTCCGCAGACTGAGCAACACGATTTAATTTGATTAGGATCCTAACAGTTTTATGACTGCTGTTTTATGGCGCATCTTTGACGTTAACTCCCTAGTTACAAATTGAATTGAAGCTGGAGCAATTAAAAGGAAAACTTTCGAGCCTTAAGTAATATTTCCACTCTTGCATAATTTTTACCTCTGCTGGCACAACAAATCAAAAAACTTGCTCACCTGCCTGTTTGGTTGGCAGTTTGCCATAATTTGCACGCAATTTGCATTTCAAGTGGCCAATCCCCCAGACCCCCCGATCTCCGTTCCGGATCCTGCAGGAAGCTCCTCTCAATGCTCAAGTTGGCCACTAGCCTTTCCTTAACTTGCGACTGCCTTCTAATTACAGCACAATAATGTACTTATGGCTCAGCCTCAACCCAAGTCTCAGTCCCAGCTCCAGATCCAGGCTGGCAAACTTGGCACCCAACGTGGCGGTGGCGGCAGCGTGAAATTAATGTGAGAGCTCATAATTTGTTAAGGGAAGCGGATAGAAGACCGAGAGTCTCTCGTTGAGGGTATGGGAGAGTTTGTTTAGCAGCAAAAAAAGCAGCTACAAATTACAGGTTAAAACGCTTGGCAAAGGTGTGGCAAATTGTGGCTATGATTTATGTGGGTGCTGCACCTTGTTATGGCCGAGCATAATAATGGAGGGCATGCTGAGCATGAAACAGTTAAACTAACTTCTATATTTGATTCAATTTCAACTTGGAACTGCAATATTGTAAATATTAACATGGTGTCACTTGTGATTCAAATCAGATTTTGACTTCTTTAAACGTAAGATTGTCCCATTGGGCCTGGGAAAGCTGGAAATCTCATATTCAAGTCGCCAGTTGGTACAGCCAGTTTAATGTGCGTGGCCTGAGTAAAGTTTCGTTTGGCTTTCTCCTGTTTGGATGCATTATCAACAAATCATTGGATGGCCGCCCGTTTGGGGCAGCTATAAAATGTGGCAAAGTGCAAATGCCGCACAGGACAATGGCAGACAGGCAAAGACGCCGCCAGTTATGTAATAAAAATCATTAAAAATATAAAAATGAAAGGGGCAAGCTAACAAGGCGCTTGGACCCACGTTGCCCTGCCTTCAATGTTGATGAAGCCATGAAAAAAATTGAAAATCCTTGCCAAGCAACGCGTCGGGTAACAAGAAACTAAACGAGCACCCAGCGCCATAAACTTAAATCACGATTAAAAGTGTGATTATCCTTGTGGCGCTACAAATCGCCGCTGCAGCTGACAGAGCACAGGGCAGGCCAGACGTCGGCCACTAGACTGGGACAACAGCGTCCTGGCTGCTAGCTTGTTGTAGCTTGTTTGTTGTTGCAGTTGTCTGATTTTATATCTTTACAACCAGGCGCGGCTGTGGATGAGTAGTCAGAACAATCTCAATCCCCGAGCTAAGGTTGGAGTCTGGGCTCGAGTCCTTGGTTAGCTGCTGCTCTGTTGCCTTTGTTATTCTGCTGTGCTTATTATACCCTGCACCCATTTATAACTATGTTAGAAAGGGTATAACGTTTTTGTGAACAAGTATGTTATATAGTTTCGTTTATAAAATTATTTAAATATTATCCTTTAACAGAAGTTATTCCCGGCATTACTTTCTTTAGGCTTGTTAAAGGAACTTACTATATATCTAACTAATTACGACAAGACTAACAATAATGTACGTGGCTGACATAGGGTATATACTGCGCTGAAACTTTCAGTTAGAGGCAACCCATACTTGTTTTGGCTTCTGAATAGCCCGAGCATACAGCTCAGCTCCAAGACCGTCAGCATGTGTACACGCACACCACACAACATGTCCAAGTATCAACAGCCAACTATGAGACACATATGCACATATGCATAATTGTAGATATGTTTTGCAAAAGAGATAGTTGGCGGCACTGAGAGTGTTAGACTTTGCCATAACAAGTTGAATTTAAAGAGAAATCTGGGTAGCTCGTGTGCCTAGTATTATAAAAATAGGTAATCATTTACTTTTTTCTCTGTTTCCTTAGTCGAAGTAAAGAAAAGCTTTTTACGCAATCAAAAGTTAGGGAAAGTATTATAAGGATTCGAAGCGATTTGGAACCCTTTTATGCCCTTATACATTTACTTAACAATGGCAGCTGGAAGCCGAAAAATAAAACTACATTTAAACCGGAATTAAATTCTTGGCCATTGTCCCTTTCTGGGCTGTGTAGAATAAAGCATTATTAGCAGTCGCATTTTAAATAAGTACGAAAAATCAAAGCTCCGTGCATATGTCCAGAAAGTCCATCAATTGTTTCGCAAGTCCGGCCGCCGTTACCCTAAGCTGTCAATTGCTGCAGACTTTTGCCAATTTAACGAAACCGAAGCCATCGTGCTGTTCCTGCCTCGATTTCAGTGCAAATACAAACAGGCAAATGCAAATAAACAAGGCGTAGAAGGCCTATAAACAAAGGAGCAATCGGTGGTGGACACTCAACCCCAGACCTTACTGTCCTGTCGGACGGTCGGCTTATCACAATTCACCCATCACACGACCAAGTGGCTGCCCCTCTCTCTCTCTCTCTCGTTCTGCATGTCTGTCTGCCTGCCCGTTGGATTTAACCCCCCAACATATTCTGCCATTGGACAATTGACTCTCGTATTTCAGTGATGAACTTAACTTATGTCAAAATATGCGATAAGTAATCCTTTTTGGCTGCGACAGTCAGCTGCCTGTCCATCCGGCCTGCTCCACTTGTCCATGCACAGTCAATTCGAGCCTAGACCTGGGCCTGTGTAAATATTTTGCTTCTAGTAATAATATCGTCGGGGGGTAAGTTGATGGCCTTACCATTTTTGTACATTTTGTACATTTGTCACGAAATCTAAAACAAAAACTTTATATATATTTTCCTGAGTGTCCGTAATGAATTGTGACAGAACGGACGGATGGACATATTGACAAGGGGAGTGCAGGAAAGTAGTCAAGGCATCTTTTGTTTGTCCTTCATTTGGTGCCTGCTGTCAGGAAGTGGATCCAAATATACCCAATTGATTTATTTTTGTAGTGAAACACTAAAAAGATTCGCAAATATGAGACTCAATGGTGTATTTTCTATTAAATAATTTTGTTATTTAGACATCATTTATCCACCTTGCTATAAATTCAACCATACACATAATTTTTGCTATCGTCATTTCGATATAATTGCGACAATTTCATGCTTCCGCCTTCCGCTTTACACATATCCTGCATCCTTGCACTGCGTCCTGAGAGACATGTATCTATATATTTGACCTGTCTTATCGGTGGCCATCAGCCCCTTGGGCCGTAAAACTAAGCCAACCCTAAGGGTTCTGGAAAACCCCAGTTTTACGCCGAGATTCTCAATTAGGATAATCTCCGAATGACTACGCAAATATTGGCAAAATTCGAAAATTCGCTGCAGACATTTTGTCAGACGTTTCGGGCAATGCATTCGACACGAAGTAAGTCACTAAACGACAGGGTCCTGGTTTCTGGTCCTGTTTGGTTTAGTCTGCGTCCTCCCAACTGTTTACATTGCCTTGTAACTGTTATTGTTGTTGTTGTTGCTGTTTTTGTTTTTGCATTTGTAGAGGCATTGCCGCTTTTCAGATTCGGAGTTTCCAGGCAAATAACATTTTCCGTATTTTCAGATGAAATGCGTCTCTTGGGGGCGGCCTGCATGATTGGGCATGGTTGGGTTTTATGCGAAGGGGCGTGCGGTTGGGTCAGCTGTCCTCTATTATATGCACATAAAAATAAATTCCAAGACTTTATTATGCCCATGTACTTGTCATTGTCGATGTGTGTGCAATGGACTGTGCTTTCATGGGGGAAGAGTGAAGCCTGCAACAGCAATTGCTGTTGTTTTTGTTCGGCGCCCGGACATGGGTACTGGGGATTCGGATGTGGGTAATGCAACTGTGAGTACGCGTTTAACATTTGTGCAAGTGTACGTGTATGCTGCAGTCATATGTTTAATTTTTTGCCAATGCCCAATTGAATAACAATCGAACGCTTCATTGAGTAACATCGGTCCTGTAAACTGTGGAAAGTGCATAACTTTTATTTGGTAAGCCGTTTGATAAAATCCTTGAAGATTATTCCAGCTATTGAATTGAGTTGTGTTGTGTTTTCTTAGTTGCGCATGAACAATTCAAGTAAAAATGGACGCCCAGAACCCAGCGTCAAGCTGTCGCTATAAATATTCCGACTTTCTTTTATAATTGGACCCTCTCAGCCACACATACTATATGAAATTTAGTCTTCGTTAGCTTTGGTATTAATCGTTCGATCTTTATTATTTTCTCAAGGATTATATATTGCAGACAAAAAAGTCATTATAGCAAAGCTCAAGTTTTTACCTCTAGTACTGACTTTTTTTCGAATTTGAAAATTGATTTTTGTCGATCTGCATGTGTCAACTTTGAAGTCTGCAGCTCGGTTATAAAAACGGTCAAACGAACAGATGGGGGAACATGTCTCAATGCTGCCCAAGAATATAGATACTTTACGGGGTCGGATATGCTTTCCACGAATTCTTACGTGCATTTGCATAAAACCATTTGAACCCATTTTAAATGGGTTGACAGAATAAAAAAACACGTAATCTTCGCTGCACTTTAGCTGACTTATATTGACCCGATTCGCTTCGAGCTGCCCAATCGTGTATGACTTGCCAAATCAACAGAGTTCATTGAAGCACAACGAAACGCCTACTCAAATCTTACACACTCAAGAACCCACTTATTGACACAAACAAAATGCCAGTTTGATGCACTAAAAAGCCTCAAATGGTGGCCGACTTTCGGGCGCTGCTGTACTGGATACTTTCCGACAGGTAACACAAACGTGCCGCCAAGATGGCTGGAGGAAACAAGTTTATCCGCGCAAAAAAACAAAGTTAGATACGAGCCAGTAAGCCAAAGATGCTCATTGATAAGCCTAGTAAGTTTTCAAGAAAGTGCGCCTGAGTGTCTGCCTGAAGTTTAGCCCATTTGTGTAGAATGCAATTGTAATTTGGTAATGTCGAGTGCGGACTCACAAAGCTCGAGCTTAAGCGCGCCATCTCATCTTCAATTCACATGAATACAATTTGCTCTTAAGTATCCAAGCACTTGAGCATGCCTTTTGGCCGCTGTCAAGTGGGAAGTTGTGGTCAGGCCATTATAACTTATAAGTCGGTCTGCCCACACTCTGGCCGCTCTTGCTGTCGCTCCATCCTGTCGCTCAAGTGGCGGTTGGCAAATTTTTGGGCATGCCATTTTCTAAATGAAATTCAAACTGACATCGTATCAATTTAAATCAAATGAAGTGCACTTTTTGTTCTGCCCGGCTGCGCTCGAAATCTGCTGAAATATTGAGTGCATCAGAGCCACAGTTCAGGACAGGCCGGAAAGCAATCGAGCGTGTCCTTTAAGTGCTGAACCAAAAGTGGCATAAACTTTAACATAGTTTTGGGCGGCATACAAGCTGCA